AAATGAATATATATATATATATATATATATATATATATATATATATATATATATATATATTCTTAAATATCCCAAGAGAATCATTCATTTTATTATGATTGGATAAGCATATAGATATTTCTGAAGATGTTCAATAAAGGAATGATCTTGTCTATACCTATTGTAAGTTTAAGGGATGAACATTAACAACGATGACAAATTCTGTGGGTGTCAAAACGACCTACCTCAATAACAATCCAATTGGTCAACCTAGAATATCACTTTATATATATATATAACAAAAACAGTGAAAACACGAAATACCGGAAAATTAAAATAGAAACAATATATTGTTTCAAAAAATCAAATTTCCAAATTAAAGGTTAAATGAAAGTTTCAATCAGTTCTTCTGAAAGTTAAATGAAAGTTTTTCTGTAAAATATAATTATTTATATAGCGTTTTGCTGACAAAATAAAATATTTTTTACTAAAAGAATATTAAATATAAAAAGTTAATTTTTTTCAAGATATCAAAACAACGTTCAGATATTTAATAAGATTTCAAATATTTAATATATTTTAAAAAATTAATATATAAAATATTACAAATATTTTTTTTTTCATTTTTATATTAAGTTTCCATATATTGGATTAATTTAACTTTAGGGAAAAATTAAATCTAAGTTAATCCTATATTTTTGGCTTACTCAATCTTAATTTTGACTCTCTCTTTTTTTTCATTCGCAATGTTGATCTGTTTGAATTTGGATTCTCGGGTAGATTTTTCTTTTACTGTTTGTCTTTAAAATACACGAACATAATATATAACAATTACACAAATTTAATATAGTTATCTCTCAACATTTATCAAAAGTGCCGGGATTTTAGTATTTTCTAAAGACTAAAAGAATACTTGATTTTGTTAAATGTAAGAATTGCAAATCTATAAAATTTTTAGAAGAATCCAACAATTTTTTAGAGAGTAAAACAATTTATTCTAAGCTAAATGTTATATTTTGTAAAAAAAAAATGTTTTCCGTTAGATGCTGCCTATTTTATTTAAGTTTTAATTTATATTTGCAATTGAGTAATATTTCTTATTTTAATGATTAATTATTTATTTTATCTTATATTGTTTGTAGTAATCACTTTACTTATCACCGTGCCTTATTATTATTATTATTAATAACCTCAATAAGATATAAAAATCTACATAAACCTAACCAAATTAAAAAAAAAAAAAAGTTGATGCAAACAACTTGAACAGAAAAGAGTGTTGTTCAAAATATAAAAATGAGAAATTATATTTTGATAAGAATTAAACGAAAAAAATAGAATCGAATGAAGGGTGTTTTATACGAAGTGATCCACTCATTCCGTCATCCGTTCAATATATTCTGTGAGCAAAGCCATTGACTAAGTTATTGGACCTAATTGCCTATGGATCTTCTCCACTTTTTTTGCAGTTGAACAACCACAATAATACATTCTAAAATTATACATAAATGCTATCATAATTTTTAATACATCAAACTATATATTTTTAATTTATTGCTACACAAAAATCGTAATATGAAATTGTAGTTTAATTATTAGATTCACAGAGATCACTTTATGGGTAAAAAGTCATCTAAGAATTAGAACTTCTATGTTTGTGGGTCATAGATTATGAGTTTAAGGCATTGATTTTATAAGATACCTGCATTGGAAAGTAGATTTAAGATCTTAAGCCTTAAATAAGATATTAAATTATAAAAATAAAAGTTTTTTTTTTATATCAAACTTAGGTTTCGTTCTAGATAAATATTTCATAATAACAAATGATTGGTCTTGCAAAACTTTTACATAGATGTAAAAGTAGACTTAAGACTTTAAAGATAATGTAAGTAGTGGAATTAAAAAATATATATTAAAATCGTACATTGATATAACTATGTAAAAAAAGACATTCTTATGTTACATATTTTTCTTGCTTAAAGTTTAAATAAACTGTAAGTTGAAATAAACAAATCATTTATCATTATATGCTGATTTTTATATAAGAGAAAAAAAAATATGGAACAACTGAAATGAGGTAGCGTGTTACAGTTAGATGTATTTATTGAAAGACTATTTCTTCACTTGTTATAACAAAATATTTTGAAAATAATCATATAAAAAAACAGTGAATTTTTCAAGAGATGCATTTGGATTTATATAAACTACATAAACATTTTGTATTGTTTATTTTAAACAAGCTTTTGAGCTGTTAGTAATTAACACAGTAATAATTATTTTATATACTTGAGATACTAAATTGAAATTAGCTAATATAGTAATATGATATATTGTTCAGTTTAAATAAAATAGGATGAATTATTTAGTGACCTTCGTTCATGATAGTAATTATCTAAAGATTTGTGAGTTTAGAATAGTGGTTTCATACTAACGTCATATATGTTATCACATCAATTATTTATGTCATTTTAATGTTTCAGCTATAATGTCATCATCAACATATTAGCAAAAATATTAATTAAAACGACTTAATATATTAGGAACCTGGTTTTCACAATAGCCACATTTAGAGTTGAAAAGTATAACAAAAACAAAAATTAGGCCATTCCTCTACTCTTCAAAAGCAGTTTTATTGACTATTTTTAGCACTTACGTCTTTTCAGCATCAAAGAAAGGATAAATCGTTTATGAAATATGACATATAACTTTAAATTTTTGGAGTGTTCGAATTATGAAAATGGGTTTTAATTTACTAAAAGATCCTCATTTACCATGAACATTTTCAAACCTGAACAAACACTGAGGATCCGAGGACACTTGTCATGTTTGGCACCTTGAGGCCGTGCGTAACCCATTACTTCTCACATTCGTTCGATCTCGTTTAAATTTAGGGCAAAATAAAAAATGAAACACGGTGGTGTCCTAAAAAAAGTGTGTCCGAAAAGCAATGGCCTAGCTTCAAACAAGCTTGGGCCGGGCCAGGGTAGAAATTTTCTGGACAGCCCATGGTATTATTATTTTATTTTAAATTTGTGATATTCGTCAATAAAAGGTTGGGAATCGGACTGCACCTGCACAGACAAAACCCTATCCCTAAAAACCCTAATCCTGAAGCACTGTAACTGTAATGGCAAGAGCCATTTCCTCATCCTGTGCACGGTTCACCATGCGTCTTCTCTCCACCAGCACCTTCACCGCTACATTACCCAAACACTCATCACTTTCACTCCCTTCGCGTCGTTTCCTTTTCCCTCTCTCCCATGCCATCGTCCCTCCCTCCACTCGCGTTGCCGGGATCCGCTGCCGTGTCAACAAAGCTGGCGACTCCGCCTACTCGCCTCTCAACTCCGGATCTTCGTCCTTCAGCGACCGCCCTCCCACCGAGATGGCGCCCCTTTTCCCCGGCTGCGACTACAACCACTGGCTCATTGTGATGGACAAGCCTGGTGGTGAGGGCGCCACCAAGCAGCAGATGATTGATTGCTACATCCAAACCCTTGCCAAAGTTTTAGACAGCGAAGAAGAAGCTAAGAAGAAGATTTACAATGTTTCCTGCTCGAGGTACTTTGGTTTCGGCTGTGAGATTGACGAGGAAACCTCTAATAAGTTAGAAGGTATGTCTTCTTCTGTAATGGAACTTTTTTGTGTGAGTGTTTGTTTGTCAATGTTTTCACTCTTTTATTTGTGTAGGGTTGCCTGGAGTTTTGTTTGTGCTGCCGGATTCGTATGTCGATCCGGAAAACAAGGACTATGGCGGTGAGGATTTAATGCTCTTCGTTTGGTGTCTTTTTAACTACTTATGGATATTGTATTTTGAAAATAAGACTTTATTTTTGTTTGTTTATTTTCTCAACTATGTTATAATGATGGTCCATGCTGAAAAAACAAGGTTTAAGTTGTGAAGTATGGGTGTACATCTAATTTCTAACTAAACTGTTCTATATGTATATTTTGTGAAAATGTAGATCAGTAGAGATTCATGTCTTATCATAATTTGTATTGGGTTTTTATTGTGTCTCTTTTTAACTTCGTCTAAGTTTGAGTGTACACTACTGTTCTTTTATCAGATGTCCATCTTGGCAAAGCTAAAAGCTCTCAATGGGTAATGGCTAGCTTTGAATGCTAATGGACTCATACTAATTTCTCTCTAATCCTGTTCTGTTACTTCACACAGTAATGGAGTCTCAGAATCATTGGAGTTGATACATTAGACTAAGTCATACGTTACTGTGTTCAGGCCAGCAATGCCAATTTTCTTGTGTATAGTGTTTTTACATTCTCTTCATATAATTTATGGTGTTTAATTGTTCTTTATGGCGCTGGTTGTTCACTTATTTAAAGTTAAAATTTTATCTGTTTTTGTTTACTGTAATCTGATGAAACTCTGGAGTTCAGTACTTATGATGCACACACAGTAAGTAAAAAATCAGCAGAAAAGAACCTTCAGAGCGAAAAATACTGTACTTTTTTCTTCCCTCCTTCATCTGCAGTCCATCTTGGCAAAGCTAGAAACTCTCAATGAGTAATGGCTAGTTTTGAATGCTAATGGACTCACATCAAATTCTCTTCTATCCTGTTCTGTTACTTCAAAAACTTGTGGAGTTTCAGAATCATTGGAGTTAATACATAAAAATTCTCTTCTTCCATATCAGTAGTGCCAGAATTTTCATTTGTGTTGTCGCTGATGTGGATTTAATCTTTATAAATAAATACATTGTTTTTCTCCTTTAATGGCAGTCCATCTTGGCGAAGCTAAGAACTCAATGGGTAATGGCTAGCTTTGAATGCTAATGGACTCACATAAAATTCTCTTCAATCCTGTTCTGTTGCTTTACAAACTTTGGAGTTTCAGAATCATTGGAGTTGATATATAAAACAACTTGATTGTCTTGTCTTCAAGGCCAGTACCCCTCCAATTTTTTGTTTGGAGTATTTACTCTCTTTTTAGTTGTAGTGTCCATATGTACTGATTGTTACTCGTTTTAATTAAAAATGTCTCTGCTTTCTGATGAAACTCTTGATTCAGTATTTGTGCACATACTAGTAAGGAACTAAAATCAATAGTAGCAACCTTTATAGAAAAATAGTGTACTTTTCTTCTATTATTGGCAGTCTATCTTGGCAAAGTAAAGTTTCCACGTGTAATGGCTAGCTTTGAATTTCAAGTTACTCGTGAAATTTACTTTATCCTGTCTTTGGTGCTTCACAAAGATTTAGTTTCAGAATCATTGCACTAGATACACGGATTACCCACCTTATGCCTCTTGAGTGTTTTGTTTACAATAGCATTGTACTAATAACCGAGTTATGTATAATTTTTAATGGTAATGAACTTTTATAGAATTTCTCTGCTTCATTTCTGTCATTTAATTCATTTTTGGAGTTACCAAAATGAATATTCCTTTTTCATTCTGGGTTGAGCTATTTGAATTATCTTTCATTAATTGGTTAAGGCTTGTGTGTATTTATTCGTTTCACTTTCGGTATTTTAGTGTAAAAGTGAATGGTTGTCATATGCTTCTTGGTTTTGAGCAATTTGAATTATCTTTCGTTAATTGGTTAAGGCTTCCATGTATTTATTCGTTTCTGTTTTGGTATTTTAGTGTAATAAGTGAATGGTTGTTATATGCTTCTTTGTCCATTTGGTAAGCACATAACAATGACATTAATCCATCTGATTCAATGGAGTAGGTCAACGACAAGTCCTCTTGTTCTTTATTATTCATCCCCACTTCAATTGTTAGAAATCCTAATTGATCTTATTCTTGGTTATCAATGTTTTATCCATGTTCGCATGATAAACAAGTTATTTATTGGTTACAACATTTTATTATTAATGGTGCAGCTGAATTATTTGTAAATGGAGAGATCGTCCAGAGGTCACCTGAAAGGCAGAGAAGAGTGGAACCACAGCCACAAAGGCATCAAGACAGACCAAGATACAATGATAGAACAAGGTATGTCCGCCGCAGAGAGAACACGCAGTGAAAGACCAATTTGTGATAGGGAGAATGTAATATGTATATAAACCATGGAAGTACTGTAACATGCACTGTTTCAGTCTTGCCTTTGGAGACATTCTATATTATATTTCTGGTGTCACTGACGATGTTAGTGCGGAGCTTGGTGTATTAGACTTATTTTGTTACAACTTTTACTGTAAACGGATCTTGAACTCTTTTCACCATGTGTTTTGACCGACATAAAGTTGCCATATTTGGTTTCGATGCTTTCTTTTGATTTTGAATATTCGTAGAGTCTTCTCGAGAAACCATTAATAGACAAGTATATAAAATGCAGTTAATAACGGAGAGCATACGTCGTAAAACTGAGACTGTTAATAAGTTTGATGAAGGCAACGTTTCTGGGTAACTCAACCCGCCTTTAAATTTAATGTGATGGAACTTCCTTCACGATTTGATCATACCTTCTTCTCAATAGTTATTTTGGCATTTTTGAAAGCATGTCATCAGCACTGTTGTTGTACATCAAAGATTTAGTTATAGGTAATGATACAAACGACGGGGAAGGGGAAGTCTGAATAGAAATGTTAATGGGTAAGTTGCGTTTCTGTAAAATGCACTTTGTTGAAGGAGAATTTTGGAAGCATATGTTTAGGAAGAGAACTTCAGCGAGAAGGGGATGAACAGTAGCAATAGGTTAAATTTCACGCCTTTGCTATTGAAAATGGGATGGCTTATCCGAAAGTGAATAATACTGTATACGATTCTTTCAAAAATTTGGTTGGCAATATGGAAACTAAATTTCCTAGGGGAAAAATTAAAAGCATTCAGGGAGCTATTTTGTATCAATGTAGACTTATTAGTAATAAGTGTTAGAATGTGTGTCAGTATCGAGAATGATACGTTATTGATGGGTAGAAAGTGAAGTTAATTTGATTGGTAGACAGAGATAATCTAAACTGTGTATGTAACATTTTCCCCAGAAAATTCGGGCACCCTTGATCTTTCAATCCCACTCAATATATGAGAGTAGTTTTTATATATACAACAAAACAACTACATTACAATATTAAAGTATGCCAAAATGTACATTAAAATGTCAAAAAGTTTATACTTTTGGTGAAAAACAAATTTACATATACTATACAAGTGGATATTTCGCTCCCAAGCCAGAGAACGGCGCCAAATGAGAAGTTTTAATGCCCAAGATAATTTCAGAAATCGTAGCGAACTATTCAGATGGTAAATCTTGGTACATTAGATACAACTTGATACGAATGATTTTAGTTCAAAGAAGAGATGAATCAATGTGGATAAATAAATGGGTCTATTTTGTTTCTTAATTAATTATATTTGGTAAAAGTATATGGTGCTGGGCTGTTAGCTATTGTCTATTATGTAGCTCCTTGGTTGTGCATACAAATGGTGCGCAATCTCTATTCATCTTTCAACCAGCATAAGAAGAGAATAAATTATTAATTACATCACATAGCTAACCTGTGTTTTTTCTCATATTTCAGCTATCAAGAAGTAAAAAATTGCTGCTGACCTTTACAAACAAACTAGTAGCTCAGTATGATATTTTGTCAACAAAATAAGTGTGAAGTGCTATCTAAAGGGTTCGATGGGAGAAGATTCTTCAAGAAAAGCTGCAGCTTCAAAGCATTCAACGGCTTCCATTGCCGATGTCCCCAGATCATCTCTGTAGAACAGTCCAAGATTGTACCAAGCAGATGGGTTTGTTCTGTCAAGGCGCAACGCATCAGTGAGTAGGCTTCTGACTATTGAAGATGATTGACCACCAAGTTGTCTGAGTACACAAGCTGTAGATATCAAACTTGGAACATGGTCGGGATCAATATCTAATGCTTTCCTAAATGATTTCAGAGCCTCTGGATGAAGACCTCTGGCTTCAAAGAGTAAACCTGCAAAAACCTATCCTTTGAATTTTGCTACCTTAACAAAATGAGACTTAATAACTTAAGGAAGTTTGGAATCTAAAACACGTTAAGCTTCAAATAATTTAAGATTCCTATTTTTGTGGAGAATTATATCCTTTCTAAAATTATATTGAAAACAAGCGATATACCCTTTGTGTGCCATCTAGAAGCAGAATAGGGATTAATAGCCTCAGATTTTGCCAGACAAACTTCAGCATCCTGCCACTGTGATAAGGCCATATACACATTGGCTAAATCATGCCATATTTCCATTTCCAGTCTTCTGTCACGGTTTCCCTTACTCTTCTGTATCACAAAAGTAAAGTTATTCTACATACATTAAAAAGGTAGAATTTAAATGAATTTTTAATATTCTTTTCCCCTTGGTAATGAGTAATTTAATGAATTAAAGTGATATATGGCGCATATCTTTACAACCTTACTTGCCGTGCCTAAACTTTTATTTTGGACCTGAAGAACAGCAAGAAGAAAAGTATATGTCTCCACCGCATTCTTTAATTTTCCCTGTGCAATCCTTAGTTTAGCTTTAGTTCTCAACAATTCTCCTTGATCCCATTTCCCACTTTGATCTAGAGCTGCATCGATAACCAGCTCTGCATCTTCAAACTTTCGTTGAGCAGATAAAATCCGCGCTAAAAGAATATATGCACTGACACTAGATCCACCCTCAAGCTTAATCAGTTTCTTTGCATGATCAATAGCAGTGCTCAACTTCCTCTGTTCAGCATATTCTAGACAAAGATGAAGGACAATGTAAGGATCGCTCTCCCTCATCGTTCTCTCCGAATCCTTTAGAGCACTGAGTGCTTCAGACTGCAAAAATATCTTCTCTGATTCAGAAGCGGCTGATCTGGATTTTGATGACAGTAGAACGCCTAGAAAGCAATTTGCAATAGCTGCCATCTGCATGCACTTTCCATTCAGCTGAGAAATGGCTTTGAAAGAATATCTGATTCCTTCTTCAGTGTAAATCTTCTTGTCTGCACAAACTTTTGAAGCTAGAAGTAGCTCCTTTATGCAGTCTGAGTTCTCTCTGTGATTCAGAGAGTTCCTTAGAAGATCCAAAGCAGTCGTATGTTCACCTTCTCCACAGTAACAAAGAGCTAGAGTATAGAATCTTTCTTTTCTGTCCATGTTTTCAGGAAGCAATTCCTCAACCTGCTGAGCTAGAGTCATGAATTCCCCAGAAACACTTAGAGCAAACGAAAGGTGATCAATTAACGAAGGGTCCCATTCAATGTATCCAAGAACAAATTTTCTCAGCAAAATCAGAAGCAGAAGAACAGCCTCTTCTAAGTTGCTTCTTGGCACAAATGAACCATCCAACTGAGAGCGGAGAGCAGGAGGGCTAGCTTCACAACCACTATACAGAAGAAAAAAAGCAAATTCCTTTTGTATTCTTGCGCTGGCTTTAATGCCAAGATTCCAATGATAAAGAAGGGCCCTCCTAAACGATGAGATAACGTCTTGAGGAGAGCCTGCAAGCTTCCACAACTCTGGAAGCAGTTCCACAGCATTTCCCACTGTCTCTTGCAGTTTACAGTCCGAAACTAAGTTTTCAGGCCAACCTTCTGGTAAAGCTGATTCAACAGTGTCTAAAATCGTCTTGCATGACTGGGCAGCATCTGCAAGTAAGCAAAACCATAGACTTTAAACTAACTGATTTTGATATATTTATTGTTGAAAGGATTCGAGCCTTTCCACCGAAACCAGAGACAAAGTGCAAGATCATTAACATGGTATGCATGGATATAGTTAAATGAGAACAAAAACGATGAAAGAAACACCTTGAAACCTTCCTAGAGCCTGCAACGATTTGGCCTTGAGAAAGACAGCTTCAAGAATTAAAGTAACAGCATGCATTGACATAGGAGGCTGAGCATCACTTTGCGAACGGCGTCTATTAGGCTCACATCTTCTAGATATAGAAACTTTAATCTTGGGAACGACAGTAGCAATATCTATTCCTTCAAACACATGAAGTGCAGCTTCGACATTGCCTTTCTGATACTCAAGTCTTCCAAGCAAAGCTCTAGCTTCCTATAGTGAAACAAGTCACTTAGTTTCATAATATCTTATAAGAGGCTAACATAATCTCTGCACAACACCCTCGCTCTAATATTATCTGATACCAACTTTCTTTTTCAGACACGAGTAATTATCATCTGATATTCCACATCGAAAAAGATTCCTCAGTACGATATATAAAACTTTAATCAAGTGTTCCTCGGCTTATGTATTGCAACCTATAAATGGCTTTTTTCTCAATAAATGCATAATACCATTTACGTATCACTTAAAACATCATATACATCACAACTCTGTTCGGAAAAGCCATTCAACAGTGTTTACAGCAGAGGACTCAATTCAAACTCTTAAGATAAGTGTCTGCCTCTATAACAGTAAAAATTGAAGTGGTCAAATTAAAAAATTGATCGTTTCCAGCATTATGTCTCTGCTATTTCTTCGAGAAAAGCTTAACACAAGTAAACACGGATTGGGATGTTAAATTGAAGAATCTAAAGGTGATGCTAGATGGGAATAAGAGGCAAGAAAAAACATAATCTGACCTCATAGTTTAAATAACCACTTTCACGAAGAGAAGACTCTGCTTCTTCAATGTTGGTATTGTCAATCTTTGTGTCGTTTTCACCAGGACGAGAAAAGCCACCACTTGCTGAATAATCTCTGGTTGCTAAGGACTCCGATGAGTAACCTAATTCATCCACCTTTAACTGCTCCCCGGAGCATATACACTTAATCATTTTTCTCAATCTTAGGCTTATCTGCTTTTTACTTATCAAACTCTTAGCTCTCATACTGAAACATTCCACTCGGTTTCCTGAAACATCATCATACAATAACAGAAGAAGAAGAAGCACTTCAAATTACATTCTCGAGAAGCATTACATAAGCTATACTCGTGTACTTGGCATATATTATATGCAAACAAAAAGCTTGGTATTCCTAAGTCCTACTGTGTCAGCTTTTCAACATCAAATTTTGTGCATTTGCTTGCTTTGAAATACACGATAACGCAATTCCAGGTTTAAAAGTATGGTTTTTCAGAACTGGGTACCTAACATCTGACATAACCAAGTCAACCAAAGGATCTGATCAAAATTCAACATTTACTTACCCAACTTGCTGATGAACAAAACTACGAAGCAAAGGAGTTAATTTAAAAAAGTAATAAAAGAAGAAATGACCAAACTACCTAGGACCATATTATAGTGAATGCAATGGGGAAGTGA